GATTACCTTTACGTTCGTCTATAGCCAAGATGTGTGAATGAACGCCTGCACGCAGTATTTCTCTCGGGGAATCTTCCTGTGTCTGTATTTCGCTACTGCTAAATGTCTTCACCGCTCTAACGCCCACACAACGTTTGAGCCAATACCCGCAACCCGAAAATTCTATTTAGTGTTCAAATAATGTATGGCCATTAACAATAAGGCACTAACCACGATCTGGCCATTGAATTGTAGCACAAGTAATTTCATCGTATGTCAACGTGCCTTTGAATACACAGTGTTGTTTAGTGAAAGATCCAACTTAGGAGTTGACTAATAATAGTATATTTCGTCAGTCCAAGATGTTTAGAGTAGCTCGATAGGCGTCGTACGAGAAACAGTCCGCGGTTCGTTAACGCCTCATAGACCGTTGGCGCGTACATTCGAATTTGACTTGGGAACGATAACCTTTGAACGGCAGTGTTACTTTATATATCATCTCGAAGAGCTCGCTCGAATAATATTTCACACTCAAACACAATATTTTCACATGGACTATGTTAGTGCTCAACGTCGTTTGCTGTCATAGCGTTTGGGCATTTCGATGAAAGTTAACGGCCGTACGTAATAGCGACTGGGTTTATATAAGGGCCAGTACAATCTGGACCGTTCTCGATCAGGGGATAATAAGCAATAGTGAAACTTTTATGTATTATATTAACTCTCGCCGTCACAAAAACAGCTTTACACAGGCCAACGAATATTTAACTTAGACGTTTCAATTTTTATCGACATGAATTAAGCTATGATTTATTTTAACGCCGTTGCTATTAAGTGCCAATTACCTAATGGATTGTTATGCCGGTAACCTTTATTTGGCCGTAAACCAAAGTGCCAAGCATGAAAAACTACGGCACTGGCCGGCTTCAAAATAGGTTGTCTACCAGTAACCGCATTGTTCTGATCTACTATCGCATGTACATACGCGAAAAGCTCAGATAACGGAGCTTGCCTTAGGCGAATACACAGTATTTAGGGAAGCTGTGACGAGATTTATTCTACAAAAAGAAAACTAAAGACGAGGCCTATTTTTACTGGTCAAACTCGGTCGATCACTTTCTAGCAAATGGAGTTCGTCAAGATCTAATGAGTAGATCTAGCGGTCAGATGACAAGCGGTTCAACAAGGTTGCTCCGAGAGGCGAATATCTTTCGTCCGCGTTTTGTATTGCCTGTTTTAGTCCTTAACAGTATACCGTTCGAATATCTGTCTGTTAATAAATTATATGTGTATGTTGAGAGAAGATTGAACTAAATCTGGATTTTTTGTTAATTATTGAGACCACAGAATGCGTCTTGGTAATTGATTTGCTCACTAATCCGTAGCTCATTTTATACCACTCACAATCGCCAGAGTCAAAACGATATTGCCGTCAATCGGGTTCATTTCGCAGGATATTGTTACCCTGATAACCGTTATTACAGCATATATGCATACAGGCATTGACATACATATTTCAGTGCTCCAGGACATGCCCTGAACGTTGATTTTATAACAACTTCGCCTGCGAAAAGCATATGGCAAGTTTATATGGATGGTTTGAATAAGCATTCCCTTTTCTAAAGTTCGTTGTTAGTTTAAGAGCCCTCAAACAAATGGCCATTATGAAATGATTCCGAAGACCATGATTTGTAGTTGTTTTCCCCCTCAAACGTTTTCGGTAGCCAATTATTAGTTCACCGTACTGACTAACTTCAATATTTCCGTGACATATCGCTACGAGTGTTTCGCAGCGCGAAAGTTCGATACAAGTAGTGGTTACGAGAAATAAAGTTATTAGGTTCAAAGGATATTATCAAAAAGAGTTTGAGATATATAATTAAAAAGTTCGAAGGATGGTAGAGATTATTCCCTATATTTATAGGTCTGCCGATTTGCTAGAGTGGAACGCTAATACGTACGAATTTTTTTTGAATCCAAACCACCTCCGTCTTCTTCTGACCGGTAGGCGAATGCTTAAGCCTCACCTAACCTTCACCAACTACCGACTAAATCCAGCCGTTGATTCAACATACTACCTAGAAATGTCGTTTCCTCGGCCTAAACCAGTACGCGCCTTCGATTGAATCTTTCTACTTTTGCCCGAAAACGTAATTGGGCTCAGGCAGACAGCAGTTGGCTTAGCAGACATCAAATTATGGGTCTCAGAACAAGGGTCAAAAGGAAGTCCTGATCCATATCAGGCATAATAGCTGTTACTCACCCGCCGTGTCTCTGACAGAGCACCAATGCTGGGCCTGGCATTGCACAGGCCCATTCACTCATCTTAGACATAAACACATACACTCACATCGCACCTATGAATTTTGATTCAACTATTATTATATCGATAAAAATATCCGAGTGCTCGAAGTTCTTACGGCGCTGTTGCCAAACAACCCATAATCCATAGCTTTTATAAGGTAGAGACAAGCTCTCTACTCCGATGAAGCTATTGGCAGATGAATCTGAACGATGTATATTAAAGGATACATTTGCAACAATGAGGTCGTAGGTTCTACCCTCACATTACGGATAATAACAGTAATAATAATGAGTCTGCAATAAAATATTTAGAAGTTAGTAACGGGTAGTATTTTCGCGGTACCATATAATACAGTGGAACTTTTTTCTTTGTACCTAAACTGCGATAATGATTCAGCTCTATATTTTAATACACGTACAATGGTACTTAATAATAGATGATTTAGCCCATTAGGTCTGTGGGGCACATTGCCCTCTGAGTTAGGATCATGCATCTATGATGCACGCGTTATTGTTAGACCATGCCCAAGAACCAGATGTAAACCTATTCAGCATCTTTGACTGTGGTGATGTCGTACCTATGGAATTTTACAGTTGTAAGAGACAATCGGCTCCTACTTTGTTTAAGATACATCCATTGGGGCTTGAAAGGATATAGAATAACAATGAAAAATGACCAGAACCCTGGTCGTTCCTTGGCGGCAGTCGTTTGTGCTGTAGACATTCCGTAAGAAAAGGCAAAGCCGAAAGGAGTACGCCTAACACGTTCACATATTTAGATTAAGTACGTTAGCGTCGACAAGTGCGGTTGTCCTAAAGGTGTCCTGTTTTCTATTATCGAACAAAGGGGCAACATGCGTAAAGTCACACAGCTTCCTATAACGGATTATGATTTAGCCTGTCAAATAATATAGTGACATTGGTAAGCTTGAAGATCTAGCCAGATACGATTGTTCAGTGATATCCCAAACGATTTTACTTAACGAAGATGGAATCGCAAAGGTTGTAATGTTAAAATGTCGGATATAAGTGCTATACCGATATTCATTAGTATGAGCGAGAGGCCAATTTAGCTAAGCATCGAACGAGAATGTTCGAAGATCTAATGGCAGACCGTGACAATAGATTAATTGAGTCGCTAATGATGATAACATAGTAGAAACCATGCTATAACACCGGGTCTTCATCTAGTCTTTTGGCAATTCAATAACTACGCTAAAGACGGCCTACAAAATGAGAGACTTTTGCAAACACACAATCTGTGTTTGCGTTTTGCCTTATTTGCATAGTTTTAACTGAATATAAATTATTAATTGATCGAAGTCTGTCTGATTCATTTACAGCCGTTATCCCGTACACGGCCTTATCTTTTTCTCTTTTTTTAATAAAAATGAAAGCTCTTTAATTTTGCTCATAGCTTGCGATTACAAGCAATCAACTACAATGGGTAGTACATCACGATTAGATAATGGTTAGCAGCGCTTTTCGACTAATACGTTCCCACAATGTTACGATGTACCTGAAGAACGTATTGTACCGTCTACCTTGACTAGAACAACGAAAACGATGAGGGGCATACGTGGATTTCCCCATAGGATCGGGTCGATAGTCCTAGCTGTGAGGCGTCATGGCCATCTCCAATGTGAATGGAGAAGGCCATTGGTTGTGCAAACTTTCGAATACAATTAATGGCCACTGGATAAATACGCCGGTATCCATAATTTAAATTTACTGTGAAATGACACGTCTAGACTCAGCAGGCGATAGAAAGTTACTTGCTTATTGCTGAGCCAATGGCACACTTGTGGCCTATATATTTGCACCTAGTGGTTTAATAATTATTTCATGCGTCCTATTTCGTCTTGGTCAACTCCCTTAGAGACAAATACTACCCTGATGCGAACAGGCTTATATGTGTGTTTTATGAAGGTCGACTATGGTGATCCTGTCGACCTTCATCATTTGTCTCTAAGTGCGACTTAGTTAAGGTGTTAAGCCTATCGAAAGTGACCAGCCTACCACAGGGTTAGGGCATCGATAATAACTCGGACCTGCATCGTAAAAAAGCTACGTCCTCACTGCTCTGCCGAATACAGCCTACCTCAACCAATTAGAGTAATTACGAGTCCTGAGTAACAAAATAATCATTATAAAAACGAAGCCAGCATTGGACGACCGAGCTATGCTATCTATTATATTATTGATCGCAGAAATCTGACCTGTCCACAATTGATACAATAGAATAGACTATATGTAAAGCATAGATGCTTTTAAGATCTCTCCTAAAAGAATTAATTGCTTATATTTAAAAAATAACCAGCGGGGACCTTGAACGAATATATATGTATATATATATATATATATATATAATTCGCCCAGAACAAGTATTTCTGTTGTCCTACTTGTTAGATCGACTGTAAATATGTATCAGGAAATTGGTTTTGTATACATTATCTTTTAAAGTCTTTTACTTACCGATCGAACACCTACGACAAATCGAAAGGTATAGATCCGCGACATAACTCGATCTAGGGTTCGATAGAACAGCCATTGGCTTTACTTATCCCGAATGGCACAGCTTATTCTATTGATGTTACTTGGAACGACTAGCAAACTTGATGCTGGCCCTTAGGTCCGAAAGCATACGATAGGGTTTATAGATAGGGGTACAGTATCTCCATATATACATATAAAGTATAGAATCAAATGACACAAACCTATGATTGGAGGCGGTTAGTCCCGACTGACCACTGGCGGACACTTGATTTAGGTGAAAAACGGCAAAGACCAAAAAAAGGACGACTCCATGCCGAGTCACCACAGATTCCGGTATACGCCGACCGTAGCAACTGGTGTACAAACACCCCATAATCCATCGAACAGCTGATAACTATATTCGTTGCGACAGGCACATGTGTTTATGCACAGAGGGAAGAACTTCGGCCGCTGCTGCTGCTGCGTCGTCTGTTGATCAGATGGTGAAGGCAGTACTTCGTTTATCTTTAGTCCTCACTTTTTACTGTCCGATCTTCTAGTATGATATATATATATATCGCCCTGAAAGCGTCAAACCATTATCTGCAGCACTTCATAATCATTGGTACTTCGATGCACTTCTTAACCAGGCCGCGATGACTAAATAAAATTGTACTGAAGAGGTCACAGATGGATGATTCCATTAGAAATTTAGGTACGGCTAACTTAATCACCTTGAGCTCGGGTTGAATAGTACGGATCGAACGAACCACCGTCAAAGATGATCTACCTTATACTACATGACTTTTGGCTTCAGTATACTTCGGCCAGCACGAATTCGCGCTGTTACCGTTAGCTCATCGTTAGAATGTTTTAGCGTTAAGGCCGTTCAGCACCGACGAGAGACGTCACGAAACAATATGGGTAACCCGTTAACTTTTTTCATCTACTTTTGCACTAACGCAATCGAAATGAACTTTGCCGATTAGGTGTCACTATTCTAGATAACAAACTGTTCCGTAGTTCGTGTTGTTGCATCAATTGAACTTCAATTGTTGTAGAAGTATGGGAAGTTACTTGATAAATTCGATTAGTTAACTGATGTAATAGTCATTAACACATGTGTAACCGCCAGCGCCATTCTCAAATAATCAGCAAGAACTGGTACTTGAAAGAACGACGCAAACAGATTCTCTTTCCACTTACAGGCTACACACACACAAGCGTAACCACAAGCCAAAAACGTGGTGTTGTACTTCTATCAATGGAGCCAAGCAACGGGTCTAACGATATCTACGATCGCCAGAAACTTTCTATAATTTCGCATTTTATGGTCTTGTTTCCCCTCGTTTATCTGTCTTAACGGCTGACCCCGCCACCCGATAAATCGATTACACTTATCGACTGTCACCACTTCGAACAGCTCACGCTGTTTATACGGAAGGACAGTTTTATCTGGCCTTCTCCTGTTTTAACTTCGGACTCGCACCGTCACGTGCCCGTCTGGCCTTTGTAAAGCTCGTGAAAAAGAGACCCCTCTCATGAAAAAGTCGGTATCAGCTCTCGATGAGGTAACTTGGCCAGAGGAATCGGAGGATGAAATTTCGTCGCGACTTAAGCCAGCTTCATCATCACGAACTTCATCACAAGTAGTGTAAATTCGAAGCCCATTCGAGCTATGATGTTACTTTTTGTCTACGGTCTGATTCATCGGCCGTTCAGCGGAAATAGCAGCTGCTGCCCTACTATCGCCGCACCCTGGTGTTGACTTAGATACGGAGTTGGTACCGTCCAGAAAACGTGAGCGAACCACAAGGTTGTCGCGGAGTTTACGTAGTTCCGCCACTCCAACACTGCTAGGGATCGTGCACAAATAATTATTAGCTACTGGTTCTAAACATATATATGGTCACTGTTATCTCTCACAAATTGACCGTACTGATAACCTGACGACTGGATTCACATGTGCATGTATCTGACAGTTCGTGCACTTCACGCGGCACGCACCTTTCAACTAATCCCGGCCACCTAAGCCGATTTTCTGCACGAAGCCGGTGAGCATCCGCGATGTCGCGCGAAAACTGCGCGATTCTCTGATAATAATGACGGTAGTATCGTGCAAGCATCAGCTCTTCTCTAATTTCTCCAATGTTTCGATCGGCTAGGGACACTTTCTTCGGACAATCGCAGCTCGGACACTCAGTCTTGACTACATCGGACCGTCGAACCTCAATCACCAAACACCCGACTGATACAAGCATAAAAACATCTGAAATTATCACCGATGCAATGCTGTTATGCCGCAGTTCGTCAAGTAGTAGATTTCTGAGCGGTTTTCTACCGTCGTCTTCGTAACGCCCTCTTTCTCCCTCTCTATATTTGGGTTTCTCGGATCAGAAAACTTTCTCTGATCCACAGCCGTCACCCTCTTGCAGTTGGTACTCAACGGAGTGACCTACAACAACGCTGTAAATCTTTGTGTCCGGCCGACATGGACGTGTTCCTGACTGTTGCAATAGACAGGCGAAAGCCGGCGCTGTGTCATAACAACCAACGACTGCTTTGCCGTAAGCGCCACTGACATTCAGCGCACTGGACCGAGTAGTCCATGCGCGCGCTATCCGGCAGCTCCAACCGGCGCTGAGGGGAGAGCCGTGGCAAGGGAAGCTTCGAACGCCGTTGAAGTGGAAGGAAAAAGAACGCACTGTCGAGAGGGGGCAGTTTTACACACCATGTTATCTTATACAGAATGACAGGAGTTCTACGTGGACGGCATACGATATGCCACAACGTAACATAGGCAATAGCGGACAGGGCGCACGGGAGGTTCGGCGGGTCGCTCTGAAGTCCAGGGGCGAACGCATGCCTCAGATGCAGGTTTACTACAAAACGTTATGCGTACCTGACAAGGTCGTATGATTACGGCATGAAAACGATAGATTCGTGGTTTTTTTTTTAGCTGAACTGACCAGAAATAGCTTTTGTAACAATTGTTAAGTGTATGTATATTTCATCGATAGCAGACGCACACAAGTACACAGACGATTTGTTGACTATATTATGCGTCTAGGGAACGATGTAGCAAAATCGAATGCATTTATATACTATTGTGAAAGCACAAGGCCGCCGTTTGGACAAAAAACAACGTCCATAGTGAATTGATATAAATAACCAAGAAACAGAAAATTTCGGTTTCCGCTTTTGGCCACAGGAACCAAAAGACCGGAGTCGCATGTAAAAAGAAAAAGGAATCAGCCAAACTAATTGATTGCTAACATGACAAAATTCGATTATGTAGTTACCCCCCACCCCCACCCCCCCCCTGCGGTAAACGGGAGAATAACAACAATAAGTCAGATATTATAGGAAGAAAGTAGGCTCTACTCAAAGGAACGAGGCCGAAGAAAGCACGAGAAACGAGTACGATAGCCTTCCGATTGAGAGTTTGATGGACTCGATCATTGGAAGTAGTCCGTGATCCGCATTCTGCTCGCTATACGCCAGGCGCATGAAGTGGATGTTGTTTTCATTTTGTAGTCAGAAGGTATCCTCAAACGAGTATTATTAGTGCTATTCAATAAATGGTATAATAATAGCTTTGTCCTCTTAGGCGCTTGCCTATGTAGCAGAGTCCTTCAGGCTATGTGGCTAGGTCGTGTCAAAAAAGAGTGCTCCAAAGCTCGTTGGAACGATGCTGAAGAAAGACCTCTTCAAGCGCACGTGAAACCCAAAATGGGGCTGCAGGTGGCAAAATCAACGGTGGCTGCAACTGACCCAGATCAAATCCAAGCCAAGATGATTCTTTAGTTTAGGGTTAATTTAGTTAGAATAATAAATAAATTAACGAAAATGTATAGCAGCATAAAAAAGACATAATTCGTTACAGGTAGGTAATTATTCCTAAGGCTTTAGAATGCATATAAATGGCTCAGATATTATTCAGGTGGCTGTAATTAATTTTGTTAATTATTTAGGGTGTAAGGGAGATTTGTCTATGCGCTTATTAGGTTCCTAAAGCTAACAGTGAACGGTAGGTCTTTAGTCAAATTCGGAAATTGTATATCAGACGGCATATGCCGAATTGTATGCTCGACACTTTTTTGAACAATTGCTCATATTTCTGCCTTTAATAGAATCTACCGTTATGGCAATGTAATATATGTGTACGGTGAATACTGTTCACATTAGGCCCCAAGCCATAGCACAAACTTGTCCTGTACAATGAGGTCCGAATTGGTCCGCTTCTGCTTGCATTTCATTGGATACAGGCCTAGTTTCTTTCGAGAAACGGCGTTTTCTCCTTCCAGTTTCGCATCAAGCCCGAGATTGACCAATTGATTCGGTTCTTACCGACTATAGAGGTACCAATAAACCGGTCGCGCTCTAGCTAGAACCTATGTGGGCACGCTAAATTTTCAGCAGATAGCCACGTTGAAGTATTTCCTTTGGGCGGCTTTTTAAAATTAGGTGACCGATGGTCAAAACATCGATGGAGTCTTTTCAGAATCGTGAACCCAACTCAACATGTTTGTTAGACGCTTCGTGTTGAAAAATAGGTAAGATTTAATTTTCCATTTCCGCTTGTCAGGCGTATTTCTTAGGACATAATTGCGTATCTGGAACAAAATTACGTCTACCTCAGTTTTCAGAGAAGTAGCAGACTATTATATTTTATATGAGCCTGCGAGACAGTCGGTGGAGCGATATGGATGCGTCGCCGATTTTATAAATACTATAATTAGATATGCGAATCAATGTCATAGTAGTTGTAATTATCCGTAAGAATGAAGGTCAGTGTTAATTCAGGTAACGTCTTTTAAAAGCTCTCCGAAGTTTATGTTTTGTCGCTAGTGTCTAGCTTTTTCTTTCTGTTTTTGCAAAAAAATCCAACAGAGCTCCTATCCGAGCTCTTCTTTTACTGCTTAGTTAGTCGAGCGCTTAAGAGAATGCTTAAGAACTTACGAGACAACCGACGTCGCTGAAGTCCACACGAATTCTGTACTCACCGCCAGGATCTTAAGCCGAAGTCGAACAATGGCCGTTCGGCATTCTTGTGTACCGGATATTAAAAAATAAAGTAGAACATTCACATTAAGGAAGTCATAGAAGTAACTGTGTGGCAGGTCGAAACTGACTAACTACATATGCGCAATGATTACCCGTACATAGGGTGAATGTAACGTGTTTTAGACGGTGACGTGTAGCATAGAAGAGGTACAAAGACATAATTCTAAAAATACGTTATATTAAAGAGGTTGATATAGGGATCAACAATATAGGCGCAGCCCTCATTTCATGAGGTTTATTGTTTCGGTTGGCAGGAATAGGCAGCAAGTATTTGAGGCTTTTCTTATAAATCAATTTTCTCAGGTCTAGTGGATGTTGTACAAAGTATTTAGAGCGATACACAGAATAAAGCTATATGACTGCTAGAGTTCATCTGAAAATGACAAACTTTGCGGATCAGTCATAGCCTATAATAGGAAATTTAAGAAAATGTCAGTGAAATGAACTGGAATCAATGGAATGACTGGGTCAAGAAATCTGTGCATCGCCAAAATTCGTAGAGGGATCATTTGCGTACGTAATGAATTGCCAAAACACGCTTCTGGTTTATCAGATTTATTCGTCAGAGAACGTATGACAATGGTAACCTAACAGATGTTCTTTCGACACAATTTTTTACGGCATGAATCAAGATTCCCTAACCGAATCAAGGTTCCGATCACTTTTGTAGTGATCTGACTGTATCATTATGTAGATTATGGATCAATTTGAAATCATACAAACCGTTCAGCAATTACGTATCTCGCGTGAAAAGCCGGAACTTGATTTCGATTCAAAACGTGTCACTTCGAATGGTCACGTTACGACTACCAGCATTTAAGCGTGCTTGGTGCCTTAAAAGGCGAATTAACATAGCCATTATCTGGATCTATACGTGCTTTGGGTATGTCTTTCTTCGACCACCTAGTGTCCTTGGCCATTTGCAGCGTTTATTACGAATATCTACATGTCCGTAATCTCTCCTCAGGCAGCTACAAATCATTGCTGAGTCCTTTTAGGTGCTTGTTCGGCCTTAATGGATGCAGATAATACATATCGTATGTATCGAGTAAGCTAAGTCGCGTGAAACATTCGTGCGCGATGCTTGAAAGCAAGCCATTACTTGAGAAGCATCCGTCGGAATAGAGGCGTGGCGGTGCTATTGGCAACATGAACAAAGATATTCGATTAGGGTACAGGACACCCTTCGGGTATTTGTATCCTATTGTCGACCTTGGTTCTTGTACAATATTAGCTTGTTAGGAGCTAATGTAATCTGCGCACGGTAGATATGCTTCTTGTGTTGAGCTCGTATGAGTCGATGAAATAATGCTATCATACGCGTCATGTACGGTTGAATCTTCCACTTTAAGCAGATGCGACTCCATTGTTTATTTTTGTAGGACCCATCTTATGCAGGTTAGGGCCAGGAAACTCAGTGGCTTAGGGAGTTTCGTGAGCGTTGTGCGTCGCAATTTTAAAAAAGCGCCAGTAAAACAGCCGCAATTGATAGATATTGTCATTAAGAAGCTTTGCGGTTAGTTGCGAGTTCACACGCAAGAAATTTGGAAAAACTAATAGTAACTAGTAATATTCCTGCAAAGCAACTCAAAGTCAAACAAAAAAAACACGGTACTACTGATTACGATGGCCGTGGTTCTTACGAATTGATTAGAAGTGTCTTAGCTCTCTAAAGTAGTCGACCTACTCATCGAAGCGAATATGTGGCTCGGAAAATATTGGAAAACACAGCCAGAAAGGTATAAAATTAGGGTTTGGGTTTTATGTCTGGCCCTAAGCCATTGAACAAAACTTCGGATTGCTAGATTCTCGCTGCACGAAACGAAGTGCGTCTTTTCTGTTTGAAATCTAGAGCACCATGTCTTCCCAGACCACACGTTACAGGCAAACTCAAAATTTACTAGGTTCATGACCGCTTGCAGCTTTACCACACGAACAATACAGCCACGTTAAATTTAAAAGTAGTTTCCGTATTGCAAGACGGTGCTTAATAGTGACTGTCAAGTCGCAAAAAATTACCCTTTTTGTTACATAAAATATATATGGATATAATCATCGGCAGGCATATAGGCCTGTGCTTGTACGAATATAAGTACAAACACAAATATACGAAAAAGAAATCAAAAGTAATACGCGATGTTACTTCCGATTGCCTCTTTTTGTGACACGGCCGTAAGCTATTATGCGTTATGAAAGCTCTTTTAGCTATAACCGATCTGAACATGGCCTAGCTGTCCTTACATTTTAACTTGACCTGATTTGCCAAAGTTTCGATATATAAATAAAAAATGATGATTTACGCAATGAGTCTGAGATTTCCGACTTTTAAATTGTTTCGAAATTATTCTCTCAACAGGTTGACTGTCTGGCTTTGGCCCTTCTCCACAGTGCGATATCCACTCTTTCCATTGGAGTTTGACAGTATCTTAAAATTCAACTGGCCAAAATTGGGTAACAGCTTTAAGCAATGCCGACACTTTTG